TGTATATGATGCGTCTCCGCTGTTGGTTGTATTATTGGTGAAGTAAATCCACACTTTGCTGAAGAAGCGTTAGCAAACTCTTGAGCAGCAACAACAGTACCATGTACTCCGCCATTGTTGTGTATGTTTGTTCGCGCTTGCCTGTAAAATCGACACGTACTGCGCATGTCTACATACCTAACACGTACTACGCACGCGCATGACGTCACCGTTTCAAAGATTCACGTTTTGGGTGTTTACACGGAAACGACAACGGTGGCGTTTTCAAAAACTTTCACTTTGAAACCCGTTTTCAAAAACACGTGTTTTCAGTCCCCATTGTTGTGTAAACAAACAGGCAAAACACATAAAAAGTTTCCCGTTTTTGGCTGAAAACGTTGTCGTGTAAACGGCCCCTAAATGCATTACAGCCATTTAGGGACAATATATACATTCTGTTCAATTTGATTTGCAGAATCGTTGTTCAGTGTTTAAGTTTTGCTTTAGCTTAGCTTTATTGGTCATTATTTTCAGATGACGACAAACAATAGAGTGAGCAGTATTATGTAGTCTTTTTGTTTGTTTAAAGTAATGTTTATTTAAATATCCTAGCTTGCTCTTCCTCCTAATCAGCTTTCCTGTTCTGTTGATATCAGTCAATATTAACCAACAGTCCAATTATTAGAAGTCAGCTTCAATACTCGCGAGGAGTTCGTAGGCCACTCTGCATACACTCTCAACACAGCAGTAATTATAATCTAACAGAGGTGCCTAGCTAAGTTATGACTTGGGTAAAAAGAGTTCTGATTGGTTAAATCGTAGAAAAACGTGCAAAATCTTAACAGATGTGCATAAAGTTCAAAGCATATATCCGAAGGTTATTTAGGCAACGAGCGATTAGAGTTCACACGCAATGTGTCGCTCCCAAGATGTATATGTGGCACCCATGCATATGTCCATATGCGTATTCCATCCTGGGTGCTGTTTCTGAATCTTTTTGGAGACCAGTCCTGCACAGACAGATACTAACACACACACACACACACAGAATACACAACTTCTTCAAGTCTGGATTGTTCAAACCCAAGCTCTAATCAGGAACTTACCCCAAACATCCTGATATGAAGTACTTTTATCTCAGCTAGTGGTTTCAGAAAATATTCTTCATTATTTTCTAATGTTTAAAGATGAAAAATAAACTAAATGCTTTAATTGTAAATTGATCCTGTAGATGAGAGGCCGTAATGTGCTGTACTGTGACCTATGCTTGTCATAGTAAGTTAGAAGTATAAATGTATGTTTTAATGTGTTGGGTGCTTTTCTCAAACCAAGGAGAGAGCACATTCCAGTGAGGAGACATGACTGATTTGCTGCTCGAGAAACATTTTTGTTTCTTTCAATTTAATATAACACAGGTTGCCTAAAGTGCTTTACAATCACAGACTAACCAACACAAACAAAACAGCTAGAATAGTATAAAAATAAAAAAACCACACAAAAGTCACATAGCCATACACCCAGCAGGAGTCAAGACCCATCACAAAAACTGTTAAAAGTTGTGATTTCAGCATGGCTTTGAACACACGTAGTGATTTGGCAGATCTAATGGTGAGGGAGAGCTCATTACACAATTTTGCACTGGCTCTGGAGAAAGCTCTATCACCAATATATTTATCATTTGTCTTGGTGACACAGAGAAAGTGTTGCTTTTCTGATCTCAAGGATGTGGAAGGAGTGTATACTGACACCATACTGGACAGGTACCCTTCCCTGAGGCTAGATTATGTAGAGCCCTAGAATTATTTATAAGATTCTTATTCTTCAAATGGATTAACTCGTATAATCACTCAGGGCCAATTGTTCAAACGTAATCTGATTGGATTTCGGCTATAGGATTGGATCAGATCTTAAAATTGAGTTGTTCAAAAGAAAAAAGGATTCTGAAATTGAATTGGATCACAAAATCCAGTCTTGGTTTTGTTCTGGATCAAATCATCAGTTTGTGTTGTTAAAACGTTTTTTTTTTTTTATATATATAAGATTGACATACTTTTCATCCAAAAATTCCAACAGAATGGTAGATTTCATGAACAGAAATTAAATTACAACTTTTTAACTGATCCAAAAATACAACATATGTAACATTAAGCTACATCTAAAGCCTTTCAGTAGCCTACAGTAAATTAAAAAGAGGTTTTGGTGCCATAAAATAATTCCCAAATAGCTGTCAATATCAAACAAAAATATTATATTTAATTTAAAATGTCTTTTAAATCACTGTGTGTAAGCTACATTGTTACAATCATCAGAGATAAACTGGAGCGAACAGTTTTTTTTGTGTGAGTGCAATGCAAAACTTTCCTGAGAAAATGCAAAGCAGTGAAACTTCCTTTCTTTCTTTCCATCTCATATTTTTTTCCATCACTATGTCCCTTTAGGGGCTCCGTAAAGCACCAGATTTGGTAATCTGAAAAAGTGTGTATTTGGATCATTGTGATCCAATGCAGTTTTGCTTTGAAAAACCAGCGGAAAATAAAGATGGGTTACCTGATCCTGGATAGCAAAACATGGGATTTCCAAATCCAGATTATTCTGATCCAGCTTTTTGAACACCTGGCCCTCAGTGCTGACTAGGGGTGTGCGATATATATCGTCTGCGATAATATCGTAATGGTTGTTTTAACAATGTGTGATTTAACATGATCGAGTATTTTGCAAAATCCATTCAAAACCCCCCTCCAGAAGGC